GGATTTATCTGGGTAACTTGACAAACCTGCAGATGAGGTGAGGTTAGCATTACTCGATGCTCTCGCTCCTCGTGGGCATAAAAACGCTACTAAACGACCAGGGCGGAGAGAGATTGGTAACTTCTCTCCGTCCTAAAACGACATTCTCCATAACGTGGTAAATGCACACATTTCTTAGATTACAAACTTACAGAAGAATCCTGGCAGGGGTGGCCCTGGTCGGTCCTCGGGCCACAGGGGTTCCACAGATAGTAGGTCGACTTTTGAGCGCCACCGGATGCTGAAATGTTGAATCTGTTTGATTATTAGAGAGGAAGTTAGTACAGTTGGATTCTCGAGTCTCCCCATTCCTCCCTCATCTAACAACTTATTGTCACGCAGACTTCCTCTGAATCACGCAAACGTCGTCCACATCATAGTACATTGTTATGGTAAATCATTTCCGTAGACGTGAGAGAACAAAGAACACTTTCCTGGTAATCACTGTGATAACAAAAGACTCCTTGAAAACCGACCACGTGGTATGTTTTGACTTTGTAGACAAAAAAAAAACAGTACCCAAACGTAAACTGCTTACCACCTTATCAGACAGCATGTTAAAAATATAAATAAAAATAAACAAACAAACAAATTCAGCCAAGATGGACACAAATTCAAGAAAGAACCGCTAGTTGTCTTTAGAACGTTTTTTTCCTATGTTGCCAATTTTCGTTAACGCCAAATTCATGCAAAAAATTATTCATCTAGCGGCAGAATCTTTTTCAATCAATATTACCTGCGGGAATAATTTACTCTGATACAGGCATGTCATCGACTTGAGGATACTTAAGCCTGCGAGCAAGAACTCGCAGGGGGGAGGGGGGGGGAATGGTGGTGTGAAGGAAGGAGAAACGGCTACAAATAATAAATCAGCGGTATGTTTCAACGTTTAAAAGCGGTGCTTTTGCCTCGAGGGAAAAAAAGACATACGTCTGTAGCAGCGCTCTGCAGTGCTAGGAGAAAAGGACATCAAATCATCTCACCCGGTTCGAAACATTACACGGATTTCATGCTTAGCCATGGCCCAAGTCAAAGTTCAAGTTTAACACATGGCATGGATTACCTCTGCCTCTGAACAGCAAGGCCTTTTTTTTTTTTGAGAATTAAATGAGACAAATAATCTGCAAATTTATTATCGCTGTTTCTCTGTCAAGTTACACATTAGACGCAATGCTACGAAGCTGAAGAAGAATATTAATTTTTCCGTCGCCCTTTCTAGCCGTTTTGATAAGGTTACTTTCGTACCGAAGCCACCTTGAAGTCATAATAAATGAATGTTTTATCGAATCTTCAGAAAAAGCCACGAGTCCCTTTGCTTATACAAACTAGACCTTTCATCTCAGCCGATCTTCTCTAAAGCATTTTAAAAAGCTAACACTTACCTCGCTCCATTTGTTTTCTGTCCTGCAACGCTCCAAATATTTATCTCCCCTTCATCCGTAGAACATCTGCAAGCGTCTATCTTTTCGCATTTTTTTAGTGCTTGCACTAGAGACGAAGATAAAATTAAAGCGGAAGCGAAAATAAAGAACTTCATTCTGAGGAATACCGGAATCTTGATGGTGACGGGAGAACGATCGAGTGGATTTATTGTAAGCTCCTCGTAAAATGTGGTAACACTATACCATGCAGACAACACCCACGTGAGCGATGGTCTCACGCACAAAGCTGTATGCTGATTATTGTTGTTATGAGATCAAAAGCGGCCCGTGTTAAAATAACTCGACGGATATACTGTGTTTTGTTTACAACGGAGGGATTACATGCAATCTTCGGATATTTGCTGAGAAATATTCCTGATGGGTTGAAACGCTTCAAAATGGGAGACAAAATGTATACCAATGTCTTGTAATCATGGATCGGATATGTGAAGAAAATCAGGGAGAAATAAAGACGTGTCAGTTGCATAAATTATCTCGTCATATTTTCTTTGAATTGTTTGACGCTCGTGACCGTGAAACAAGCGAGACCTGATCTATCACGCAATACAGGACGCGACTTGTTGATTTGCTGATGTGACACAAATCTGCTATTCAGATGTTTCTATGCTTGCCAGGTTGCTGTGGCAAAAAGGACAAATTTGGCGCTCGTTTAAGGATTAAGCTTTCTCCTCCCTCCCTTCTCGAGCAATATTGCGTTATCTGGCGGCAATTGGTAGCTAAACAAATACTGTGTTAATATGTGCCCTCGTTTATGAGCTGATTATGTATTACTGTATATCTGGAATGTTAATCGTGCACTAACCAAGAGCTCGCGAGTCTATAAACGGAGAAACCACAGAATTAAACGGTTTGGTCATTACTCACGTTGAAAAACCCTTCTACATTAGATATTTACCGCCATTTGTTCCTTTGGGTGGCTTAGGAATTTTTACCAGAACTGTAATTAGTTATTTTATTTTCTAAACCATTACTTGTCTAAACCTTTTTTTATATAAGAACGCGGGAAGTTTGGAGAGCACGAGAGAAGCGTAAGAGTTGCTTTTAGCTACGCCTCGAGCAATTTTTACGCGGAGAGCACAAGAGAGACCTAAGAGTCGCTTGAAGCATAGCCGAAAGCAACTCTTACCCTTCTCTCGTGTGCGTCCATAACTCGATCAGCACGCATACTAAGTAGTGGACCAATTCTTCATTTACGGGTTTTGTTTATCGTTTTCAAATGAATCAGCCATTTAAAGGAATAGATTATGGTAATTATTTGTTGTGGAAGGGACAGATGACAAATTTTAACGTTGCGTGAGTACTGACCAAACCACTCAGTTTTGCTGTGATTTTCTTCCGTTTATGGACTGGCGTGCAATTGGTTGAGTCATCGCGGTTTTCTGAGCAACACAGATTAAAAAAACACTCAGAAAGATCTAGGTCTGTGAGACTTATCCAAAGAATTCCAAAGTGGCCTCTTTTCCCGATAGACTTTGAAGGATCCCTGGCGGCTGATGGTAAGGTAGATACTGGATGGCGATGGGGGACCAGTGGGTGGGGGTAAATGGGGTATCCGTACATTATATATACGACGGAAGGTACCACGAGACGAAAAAAGCTGTGAATTATGGGGTATGTCCAGTTCAAGTTTCTGATTCTTTGTCACGCACGACCTCGGACGACGAAGACTAGACTTAGAGCTCTGCAATATGAAACGATGGCTCCTTACTCTTGTAATCTACTGGGTTTTACCTCTCCTACAGGGAGTCAGAAAGTGTTCCAAAATTGACGCCTGCCGTTGTTGAACCGATGAAGGAGAGATCAATCTTTGGAGTCTAGCAGGAGAGGACGATGTGCCGAGGTAAGCGCGTGTAAAACTGAGAACAGAGGGGATCGATATTTATCACAGATACCCACACCACAGTATCCTATCATTAAAGTGAACAACATCGAAGATTGGCCCTGTCGATGAGCACTTTTAGTGAGATTGGCGTCGTTAGAAAGTCACAGTATAAAGTTAACCATAAGCACCCGTTCATCAAACTCATTCTTCGCGGCCTATCAGATAATTATGCGAATTATGCGATTACCTCGGTCTGTCACATTGTGAGATTTAACGCCAGTAACTTAGTCTGTATATTGTACGATTTAACGCCGTAAATTAACGGCGTAAAATCCTACACTAAAGATAACACCGACTAAGAAATAAGACATAAGAAAAGGGCTTTTCTTATGTACGTTGAAAACCTCGAAAAGGACAACACGCTAAAATAGGTTCTTTTCATCAAAGTAAGCGGTCAGATAACAAGCGATACGCTGTGGAAGTAGGGTGAGGTATTTTTATTGAGAATTTGACGTTTTTGTTTTCCTTAGAGCGGTCGTAAATATTCCCATACAAACTCTTATAATTCCGCCATGACTGTTATTGCAAGATGATCATCTCAAATGCAGCTGGAGATTGCGTCGCCTGTGGGTAACGGCGTAAAATCTTACAAATACTTGGTAAAAGAAATTACGCCGTTAGTTAAGGTGGCTCGTACCGGTTTTCATCTTTTTGATGGTTTGTAACTTTGAAAGAATACAACAGAAAGACTGACCAAGGCCAGTTCAACACTTTTACGGGGTTCAATTACATAATCATTGGTTATCCAAAAATAAGTGTCATTTCGTCACTAGCAGTTTCCAT